CCCCCTTACCCATTTAGCCCATCCCCCCTCCACACCCCATCCAGTAACCCTCTATTCTCCATATTTATGAGTCTCTTATACTTTGTTCCCCTCCCTGTTTTTATATTATTTTTGTTTCCCTTCCCTTATGTTCATCTGTTTTGTCTCTTAAAGTCCTCATATGAGTGAAGTCATATGATATTTGTCTTTCTCTGACTAATTTCACTTAGCATAATACCTTCCAGTTCCATCCACATAGCTCAAATGGCAAGATTTCATTCTTTTTGATTGCCAAGTACTACTCCATTGTACATATATACCACATCTTCTTTATCCATTCATCCATCAATGGACATTTGGGCTGTTTCCATACTCTGGCTATTGTTGATAGTGCTGCTGTAAACATGGGGGTGCATGTGTCCCTTCGAAATAGCACACCTATATCCCTTGGATAAATACCTAGTAGTGCAGTTGCTGGGTCATAGGGTAGTTCTGTTTTTAATTTTTTGAGGAACCTCCATACTGTTTTCCAGAGTGGCTACACCAGCTTGCATTCCCATTTTTTTTTTTAATGTTTATTTTTGAGAGAGACAGACAGACAGACAGACACACTGCAAGTGGGGGAGGGGCAGACAGAAGGGGTCAGGATCCAAACCAGGCTCTGCGCTGACAGCAGCAAGCCTGATGTGGGACTGGAACTCACGAACGTAGAGATCATGGCCTGACCTGAAATCTGACCATCATCCGTGCCCCTATTTTGTTTATTCTTGACCCAGGATCCAATCAAGTATTATGTATTGCATTTGACTTTCATATCTCTTTAGTCTTTAAAACTGTTGTTTTGCCTTTTATTTTTTTTGTCTTTCATGACATTTTTATAGAATTCAAGTTAGCAGTTATCTTGAGGAATGTCTTATAATCTGGATTTTATCTGATTGTTTCCTGTTGATAAGATTCAGGTTAAACAGTTTGGTAACAATACTATATAAGTGATACTGTTACTTCCCATTGCATCATGTCAGGAAACACTTAATATCAGTTTATCTTATTACTAGTTAATCATTTAGTTAAAAGTTGGTTAAACTGGTGTCCATTAGATGTCATCTTGTAAAATGTACCTCAGTCTCATACATTATTTGAAAATATAGGGCTATTAGTTTCAACAATCTGAAGTGTTTATATTGTCTGTAGATTACCAGTAAAGTTTTTAGTTTCTCTTAGTCAAATCACACTAATACTAGATCTGTATGAATATAAATGAATTGCAAATAACCAAAATTTGGTGGGTCTGATTTTTTAGGACTACAGATCTTTGAGCATCAGTGAATTTGTAAATTTGTTGAGTATATTCATAACTCTTACCATAGTCAAGTCTTAAAGACTTACCTATAGCAGATCATACAAGCCTTCATCTAATAGTCTGGAATCATTTCTGATTTACTCATTTCATTTGTTTACATTATCCAACAAAATTTTGTTGCATGTTTAGTTTTACAAAACTGTTTAGGAAATAGAAAAGTAATTTTTTCTTGTATCCTGAGTGGTCAGTGATGCGCTTAAAGTAAAACTTTTATAATTTAGATTTATATATAATTAATGAAAATAGAGAAACACCAACAATTTAAAAATAAAGTTTCTCTAAACTTGTTTCTTGATCTTTTGACTACACGTAATATACGTAATTAAGGCTCCCAACTAAATGCTAATTTGCCTGCCTGGTTCAGGCATGACTCTAATACATATTTATATTCTAGGTTTGGGTTGGCACCATTGGGTCAGGTCCCAAGGGTCGGAATCTCTGTGCTACCTTCCAGCACACAGAAACTTTCGAGTTTCAGGATGAAGTGGGCGCACTTGTGTTATCTGTGTGTCAGACTGTGAGCCAAGGAATTTTGTGTTTCTTGCCATCTTACAAGGTAAGGGAATATTTATTATTTCTCTTGCCTTTAAAAAATCACATGGGATTACCATGGTAAGTTTCCAGGAAGCAACAGGAATTATAATTTTCTAAGTATCATATATTTTACTTATTTATTGATTGAGATAGTCCATTCACTGTTTTACTTGAAACTCTAAAACACTAAAAGTCTTCAAGCAGTGTTTGTTATATGAGGACTGTTTATGATGTGTACATTATTTTTATTTTTAGGGGCAGCTTGATTTTTTTCATAGTAGACGGGAAAAAGTATATTCATTTTCACTTTCACAAATTATACTTTTGAATGTTTCATTAATCTGAATCTAAAATCAGACTTTCTTTGTTGCCCATCTTTTTACTTCATGTACTTGGCGAGGCTAGACATTTTTGGTTTTTTTTTTATAAATTTTTTTTTCAACGTTTTTTAGACATTTTTGTTTTTAAAGTCACTCTGGTTTTTAATAATACTGTGTAAAATTGAGTTACATAGTGTATTTTAGTCCTAATATTTAAATTATTAAAACTACATATAATTTCTGAGAGTAAAATCATACTTTATCAAAATCCAAGCTAAATTCCAGTGTAGAAAAGTGGTATTTCCTTTTATTTTCTCATTGGAAGTTGTATATGTAAGGATAGTAGCATAAATAAATAATATATTTGAATGGCAATACTGAAATACTTTTGACTCTGCTACTGTTTCTCCATTTATGTACATACTGCTTTACCTGAATGTGTCCTCCCAAAGTTTCATATGTTGAAATCCTAACCCCTAAAGATGGTGACATTATGAGTGGGGCCTTTGGGAGGTGCTTAAGTCCCGAGGTTAGAATTCTTATGAACAGGATTAGTGTCTAATAAAAGAGACACTGAGAGAAACCTTGCCCCTTCTACCATGTGAGGACATACAGAAAAGATGCCAGCTATGAACCTGAAAGAGGGACCTCACCAAATGTGACCATGCTGGTGCCTTGATCTTGGACTTTCCAGCTTCCAGAAGTGTAAGTGATACATTTCTTATGTCTAAAAGCTATTGAGGTATTCTGTTATAGCAGCCCAAATGGGACCAAGACACATACTTTTTTAGCCCGATACAGTAAATTAGTCTTCCTGTAGATAAATTGAAAGAATTGCTTTCAGAAGAAATTTAATCAGATAGTTGTTTTTTTTTTTTTTACAAGAATATCCAGAAAAAAAATGGACATAAACATTTAAAAAATTCTTAAAAGAAAGCAATATTTATCCCAAAGTGTGAACATTTACACCAAACAGCTATGTTAAAGAAAACTAATAATTAAACTTGGAGCTAAGAAAAGTAAAATCTCAATACATTAATAAATACCTTTTTATATTTCCCAATCATGATCACAAAAGTGAGCCATGAAATGCCCAGTTGAATAAATAATTTCATATTCTACTAGGCTTCAAAGACATGGTAAGAATGATTGTTTATATGCTAGTAAGCAGTTTGGTATGGTTTTTTGGGGTTTTGTTTTTTGTTTCTTGGGTTTTTTAGTGTATATATGGAGGAAAACCAAATCTAATATAAAGGTTTTAAATTGACAATAATACAATTGTCATTGGAAAAGTTACAGTGAGAAAGAAAACAGACCGTTGAACAGTACGCCATATCATCTTGTAGCAGTGTTCTCAAATGATGTAGTTTTTGTTAGCTGGGTTCAGCAGTTTGAAAATACATCCTAATTATTAATATATTGAGGTGAAATACATTACTTGGTAAAAGAAAAGTAACTACTCTAAATATAAACGGAATATTACCTCCTAAATTTAATTTTTGGAATAGATATAGCACAGTATTAATTTTACAGTTACTGAAATTGATGATTGATTATTGGGTGACTATAGAGACTGTAACATTTAAATATACTTTTTTAGCAGATTTATAAATTGGCATAATGAATGGATTATAAAATTTTCTGTTTCTACTTTTTCAACTAAAAAGAATGAGAAGATAAATAAGCTTTCAAACATTTTATTTCTGTCTTAGTTAATTGTTTTTATTAATAGTGGATTGATAGTTCTGGGGGGTTTGCTTATTTATTTTAATTTATTGTCTGTTTATACTGTATCTTTTTTATTAATTTTTATGGACTTAATAGATCACATGGGTATTAATTCCCTATAGTACATATCAACATTTCCCCAGTTTTTCATTTGTTGAATTCATTATTATAATTCCTTTTTTTAAGCTTTAAAAAATAAATTTGCTATCAAATTAATTCTTATACACAAATAATATAAAATGATTGTAATGAAAACCAATAGTCCTCTGGCTTCTCACTTTTCAGTTCTATACCTCAGAGACTTCTCAAATCTTTTTTTTTTTTTTTTTTAATTTTTTTTCAACGTTTATTTATTTTTGGGACAGAGAGAGACAGAGCATGAACGGGGGAGGGGCAGAGAGAGAGGGAGACACAGAATCGGAAACAGGCTCCAGGCTCCGAGCCATCAGCCCAGAGCCTGACGCGGGGCTCGAACTCACGGACCGCGAGATCGTGACCTGGCTGAAGTCGGACACTTAACCGACTGCGCCACCCAGGCGCCCCAGGCCTATTTCTCTTAATATAATTTTTGTTTTCAAGGTTCATGCATGTTGTAGCATGTATTAAAATTTCACTTTTATGCCTGAATAATACTCCATTTTGTGTATGTACCACATTTTGTTTATCCATTCTTCTGTGATCACTTAGGTTGGATCTACCTTTTGAGTATTATGAATAATGCTGCTATGAACATTGGTATACAGTTACCTGTTTGAGCCCTTGCTTCCAGTTCTTCGGAATATATAGCTAGAAATGGTATTGCTATATCGTATGGTAAATCTGTATAACTTTTTGAGGAGCCATCATGCTGTTTACCACAGCAACTGTATAATTTTAGATCCAGAAAGCAGCATTTCATAAAGATTTCCATTTCTTCACATTCTTGCCAACATTTGTTATTTACTATTTTTTGGATAATAGCCATCCTAATGGATATGAAGTGGCATCTCCTTGTGGTTTTGGTTTGTATCTCCCTAATGACTAGTGATGTTTTTTGTGTTTATTATCCATTTGTGTATCTTCTTTGGAGAAATGTTTAATTCAAGTCTTTTCCTCATGTTCGAATAAGGATTTTGTTGTTATTGTTGAGCTGTAGTTCTTTTTATATTTTATATATTAATCCCTTACCAGATACATGCTTTATAAATATCATCTCCCATTTTAGGAGTTGTCTTTCACGCTGTTGATAGCATTCTTGGGTACACAAAAATTATAAATTGTGAAATTTTGATCAAGTTCAATTATCTATTGTTTTCTTTTGTTATATGTGTTTTGGTGTCATAACCAAGAAATTATTGCTAAATCCAATGTCATGAAGATTTCCCCCTATGTTTTCTCTAAGGACTTAATAGTTTAGGTATTAAATTTAGATATTTTAGCCATTTTGAGATAATTTTATGTATGGTGTAAAGTATGGGTCCACTTCATTTTTTTTGCATGTGGATACCAACTTTTCCTAGCATCATTTGTTGAAAAGTTTCCCGTTTCTCCATTGAACGGTCTTGGTACCCTTATTGAAAATCCATTGACCACATATGCAAGGACTTATGTGTAGACTTCCTATTCTGTGTCCTTGGTCTGTAAGTCTATCCTTATGCCATTAGTGTTTCAATTACTTTAACTTTAAAGTAAGTTTTAAAATCAGGAAATGTGGATCCTCTAATTTTGTTCTTTTTCAAGATTGTTTTGGTTATTTGGAGCTCCTCAGGATTCCTTATGCATTTTTTTTAAGTTTATTTATTTATTTTGAGAGAGAGAAAGAGAGCATGAGCACACACGAGCAGGGGAAGGGCAGAGTGAGGAGAAAGAGAATCCAAAGCAGGCTCTGTGCTGTCAGTACAGCCCTGACACAGGGCTCGAACTCACAAACCATGAGATCATGACTTGAGCTGAAATCGAGAATCTGACTGACGCTCAACCAACTAGCCACCTAGGCACCCCTCCTTATTCATTTTAGAATGGATTTTTTCTTTTTCTGCCAAAGAATGCTGTTGAGATTTTGATAGGGATTCCAAAGACTCTGTATCTGGCTTTGGTAGTATTATTAATAATGTTAATTTTTCCAATCCATAAACATGGGATGTCTTTCCTTTTATTTATGTCTTTTTTTAATTGTTCTCAGCAGTATTTAGTAGTTTTAGAGTACAACTCTTTAACCTTCTTGGTTAAATTTATTTCTGAGTATTTCTTATGCTGTAGTAAATGGGTTGTCGTCTTAACTTCCTTTTCCAGTTGTTCATTGCTGTTGTTTGGAAAGGGAACTGATTTTTGTGTCTTGATTTTGTATCCTGCAACTTTACTACTAGATTTATTGGCTTTATATTTGGGAGGGATCTTTAGTTTTCTAATTATAAGATCATATCATTGGCAAACAGAGATCATTTTACTTTTTCCTTTCCAATTTGGATGTCTTTTTCTTGCCTGATTATTCTGGCTAGAACTTAAACTACTATATTGAATAGAAATGGTGCAGAGTGGCATTGTGGGTTGTTTCATTGGGTGTGATGTTAGCTGTGGGTTTTTCATATATTGCTTTATAATGTTGAGGAAGTTTCCTTGTATTCCTAGTTTATTCACTTTTTTTTTTTGTCATTGATGCTTTTTCTGTATCAATTGAGAATAATTATGTGGCTTTTTTGCGGGGGGTTCTTCATTCTATTAATTCTATATGTTACATTAACTGATTTTCATATGTTGAACTACTCTTTAATTTTGGGAATAAATCCCATTTGGTCTTGGTTATAATCCTTTTAGTATGTTGCTAAATTTGGTTGCTGAATTTGTTGAGGATTCTCGCATCAGTATTCATAAGAGATATTTGTCTATAGTTTCTTTTGCTTTTTGAGAGAGAGAGAGAGAGAGGGAGAGAGGAAAGAGAGAAATCTCAAGTGGGGGAGGGGCAGAGAGCACAAGTGAGGGAAGGAGAGAAAGAGAG